TATATATATATAATATTATTGTATGAAAGTTGAACAATATTGTATAAAAATTATATTTAAGTTGTAGATAAGTTGTATAATATATAATTAGTTGTATGAAATTTGTTTTTACTATGTATAAATCATATACAAAATATACAAAAGACATATTGTATAAAATTTGTATTTAAGTTGTATGTTATTGTAGTTGTATTTAACTGGATAGAAATAATATATGAAAGTTGTAGATAAGTGTAGATAAAATGTAAAATATATGATTAGTTGTATGAAATTTGTTTTTACTATGTATAAATCAGATACAAAATATACAAAAAACATATTGTATAAATTTTGTATGAAATTTGTATTTAAGTTATATGTTTTTGTTCCACAGTTACTTCTCCTCTTCATCATATAAAATTTGTCTCTCCCTTTTATCAAAATTACCTTAAATTTGTCTTTCCCTAAAACCACCACTGCCACCCTTACCGGCGAAATTCTGACCACCAGTGATAACCTTCTTCTTTCCCTCGCCTTCTTTTCTCTTCCTCACATATATAAAACCCATTTCTTTCAGATAACCTACTTCTATAGTCATGAAATTTTAATGTAGGCGTTAGACTATGATATTGATGCTGATGATTATCACAGGTGAGATATGCTCAGAAAAACTGTATTGTTTGACTCCCTAATTCCTCAATTTTGAATGATTTTGTTTTCTAAAGAAGCGATTATTTTTTCTGAGATTTCTTTTTGTTTCTTCTTGAATAGCTACGTGCACGGAAGATTGCCGTATGAATTGATTAAATAGGATGCTCAATTAAGAAGCATCTTGCGTAGTATTAATCAAAGGAAAATTGTAAGTTATAGATATGGATTCAAATTGCGATCTATTGATCAGGGATGATGATTGATAAGTAATATGTTTGTGATTGATTAAGAAGTAAATGTGTAGATTTTCACGAATTCGGATCGAATTCATGCGATAAAGGCACTGGATCAGGCGTTTAATGAAGGAGCCCAAAGGCAAGGTGAATTGTATATATTTTGTAAACAAAGCTTGTTTATGCCGAGTAATTAACTAAACATGGACATTAAGGGTAATAAAGTTTCAAAATAGTGCATAGGAATGAAAAACTCCCTTTAGCTTATAGTAGTTAGGTTTAGGAGCGATCCAGCGAAGCATAATTCGTACCCTAGTTGGTGTTTTACAGCTTGAGGCCGCAAAATAGGAATATTCAATAGCTTGATGTAGTGTAAGTGATGTTGGAATTTTCAAAAGTTTTTTTTTTTTTTTCAAATAGATTGCGATTGCGGGTGAGCCAAATATTCCATAAACTTAAGGGAAGATAGATACGTGGATTGATTTTATGTGGTAGATGAATATGCCTAGAATTTATGAACGGTAGAGCCACTGTTGTGGAGATACCCAGTGTTGGAGTGCTGTTGTGTTTCCCTGGAGTCCTATTGAGTGCCAGTAGTCTTTTGCATTTGGGCAAAGTAAAAAGATGTTCGTAGAAGTTTCTTGGGCCATTTGGCAGTATTGGCAAGTGTTGTTATTAATTTTTCAATAGAGTGTAGGTAATGGTTGGTGGGAAGTCTGTTATGGTGTAGGAGCCAGAGGAAAATTTTAACATTTGGAGGTATGGGTAGCTTCCAAATCCATTTCAAATTGGTGCTAGAGGATTGTTCTTGTTCATTCAAATTTACTAGGGCCTGGTACATGGAGTTAACTGTAAACTTTACTGTAGGATGAATAGCCCAACAAGTGTGGTCTTGTTGTAGTGAGTAGATGGAAATGTATGGTGTAGGAATCTTACTCAGAACGATTGGAGGCAGGTGGAAGGGTAGATTTTCCCAATCCCAGCCCAAAGTGGTTAAGCATGTAGAGACTTTTTGTAACGACCCGACCAGTCGTTTCGAGAGTTATAGTCCCGTTTCTCCCATTTCTACTTCTTTATGTGTTGTTCAGTTGTGTTGTGTTGTATCGGGTTGGTAGGTTCGGGTCCGGAGTGGTTTCGGGGTGGGAATGAGACACTTAGTTTCTTATTTAAAAGTTCAAGTTAGAAAAGCCAACCGGATGTTGACTTGTGAGTAAACGATCTCGATTTTTATTTATATGGTTCGGTTAGCTCCGTTAGGTGATTTTGGACTTAGGAGCGTGTCCGGAATATAAATGGGAGGTCCGGTCGGCAGTGGAAAAAGTTGATCTCGTAGTCAGAATGAAATTCCAAGAGTTGGAGTAGGTTCGTAGTGTCATTTGTGATGTGTGTGCAAATTTTGAGGTTATTCGGATGAGGTTTGGTAGGTTTCGGCGTCGTTTGCGGAACTTGGAAGTTTAGAAGTTCTTAAGCTTGAATTCGAGGTTATTTTGGTATTTTGATATTTTTTTTGAGAGTTCCAAGGGTTCGACCAAGTTCGTATATTGATATAAAACTTGTTGGTGCCTTTGGTTGAGGTTTCGGAGGCCACAGGTTTGTTTCGGGTGAGTTTTGACCGAGTCCGGGCATTCTCGGAACTCTGATATTGTTGAAAATGTGGACCTCGTCAAAATTTCACGGACCGCGAAAAGGGGGGGGGGGGGGGGGGGGACCGCACAATTTTGGTCGCGGCCGCGCTCCAGGGAAGTATTGCAGATCCGCTGATACGACTTCGGAAGCCTATATCTTTTGATCTACAAGAAATTTTGAGATGATTCAAAAAGGAATGTTGTAGCAATTCGTTTCTAGTTTCTGGAAAGGTAAAGAAATCATCATTTGGACATCTGTAGGGAATGTTATGTCCAAAATACTATAGCCTGGGAGTGCAGCCACCAAAAGTGGGGCTGCACCATTTTTTGCCGACCGCAGGAGCTGGGACGTGTGGCCGCGCTTGGAATTTCGCGGACCGCATAGTGGAGATAAGAGGGTGCACTATATAAATGGGGTTTAGGGCATTATTTCACATTTTGGACCTAGGGAGCTCGATTTGTGGCGATTTTTCGTGGGTTTTTCAAAAAATTCATCGGGGTAAGTGATTCTAACTCGGATTTGGTTAATATAGATGAATATATAATTGGTTTCATCATTTGATTATTATTTTGGGGTGAAAATTTGGGAAAAATTGTAGAAACTTCATAAAATGAATTCTTGAGATTTGAATGTCGATTCGAAGCCGGATTTGGGTGAAACTAGTATGGTTGGACTCGTGAGTGAATGAGTGTTGGTAATTTTTGAGGGAAATAGGGGTTTTCCTTGATGCGAAAGAGCTAGATCAGTAGTTTATTTGGGACGAATTCCTACTTAGTTTTCTTAGTAATGGTAACGAAGGTATGCTTTTACCCGATTCCGAGTCATGGGCCCGAGGAGACTTTTTGGGCGCATTTCCTACTTCCTTGCCTTAGCCATGAATTCTTTAGTGTAAATAGTTACTTGTAGTTGTATTTACATTATGCAATTAATTTGATTAGATTTGGGCCATTCGGAGTTAGATACTCGTGGCAAGAGCGTGGTTTCGGATTGATTGAGCGGTTCGAGGTAAGTGGCTTTCCTAACCTTGTGTACGGGAACTTCCCCTTAGGATGTTTGGTACTGTTTGATGTGTGAGCGCCGTGTACGTGAGGTGATAAGTACGTACATGGGCTATTGTTGTAAAAATCTCATTTTCTTTCTAAATCACAAACTGTTTTCCTTTGTTGAACTGCACTACTATGTTTTATTGCTTAGTTTAGATTAGGAAAGCATGCCTACGTGTTTAAACTGTCTATTTGAAATTCTGTGCATCATGTATAGGTAGATCCCTATTTTCCTTGATTGTGCTTAGTCTAAACTATATAATTCGATGTTGTAACTGTCATGTCATTCTGAGCTGCATATTTACTTTGGGAACGGACATATTCCGGGAGATCCCTCGGCACTGCATATTTACTTTGACACTATGGACGTATTCAGGGAGATCTCCTTGTCTTGCATATTTACTTTGGGACTACGGACGTATTTCGGGAAATCCCCCAGCACTGCATATTTATTTTGGGACTACAGACGTATTCCAGGAGATCCCACTGTACTGCATAATTATTTCGGAACTACAGGACGGTATCCCGGGAGATTCCTTGTTGTGTTTCCTTTTTCTGAGCCGTGGGCTCCCTTGACTGTTAAATTCTATGAACTTCTTTAACTGCTTTACTGTAGAATATATTTGTATCTCTTATTGCTCAATTCATTATATTTACATCGGTAGGGCCCTGACCTGACCTCGTCACTACTCGACTGAGGTTAGTCTTGGCACTTACTGGGTACCATTGTGGTGTACTCATGCCCTTTCCTGCACATGTTTTTTGTGCGCAGATCCAGGTACCGGCTATCAACCTCGGATTTAGTGCACGCTTGCTGATTCAGGAGACTTCAAGGTACCTCTGCTCCCGTCCGTAGATCCTCGGAGTCCCCTTCTATTCCCCCGCGTAGAGATTTTCTTTGTTTTCTTTAGACCCTTTTGAATAGAGCTATATAGACTTATAGAATGCTTGTGATTAGCAACATTCCTGGTTTTGGGAGTAATGTATTATATATGAGCCGAGTGACACTATCCTTGCTTGTTAAATCATACTATTTGGCTTTATTGTTATGTTTCTTTTATTTTTTTCCGCACTAATAGGCTTACCTAGTCATAAAGACTAGGTGCCGTCACGACATCTTTCGGAGGGGTAAAAATGGGTCGTGATAAGTTGGTATCACAGCCCTAGGTTCATAGGAGTCATGAGTCACAAGCCGGTTTATTAGAGTCTCGTGGATCGGTGCGGAGACGTTCGTACTTATCTTCGGGAGGCTATGTAACTGTTAAGAACAATCATACTTCTTTGATTTCCTTGTCGTGCGAGTTATGGACATCAAAATTCTAAATTCCTATTCTATTCTATTTCACAGATAGTGAGGACCTGTATCGGGAGGACCGACGATCAGGAACCCGAGCCCCCTACCATAGCCGCCAGAGGCTGGGTTCGGGGTAGAGGACGACCACGCAGTGCAGCCCGAGCACCTACGAGAGCTGTAACAGAGGAGCCCCCAGCAGCTCCATCTGGAGGGCCGGCACCAGAGATTCCAATTGCTACTCCGGCCCTCCAGCAGACTTTAGCTCAGTTCATGAGCATGTTCAGCACGCTAGCTCAGGCTGGACTACTTCTGATAGCTCCCGCTACATCTCAGGCCAGGGGAGAGGCACAGACTCCCGCAGCCCGCACTCCTTAGCAGAGGGTCCAGGTTGATTATGCCCTGGAGTATATTCCTATGCCTAGTGGCTTTGGTACAACATGAGATCAAGGTAGCTGCTTCTGAGGCAGAGCAGCTCAGACTTGAGAGGTACAAGAAGTATCACCCCCTACTTTCGGCGGACTAACTTCAGATGATGCTCTGGGTTTTCTTGAGGAATGTCATCGTATTCTCCGCACTATGGGCATTGTGGAGATGAGCGTGCTTTCTTTCACCGCTTTCCAGTTGAGGGGAGTGGCATATCAGTGGTGGTGTGCCTATGAGCTGAGTGGTCCGGATGAGGCAGACTCACTCACTTGGAATCAGTTTTCAGAGATGTTCTTGCGTGAGTATGTTCCTCAGAGCCTCAGGGATGCTTGGCGCGCAGAGTTTGAGTAGCTGCGCCAGGGTGCTATGACTGTGTCGGAGTATGCTGTTCATTTCAGTGAGTTAGCTCGACATGCACCGGCTTTGGTTGCTACAGTCAGAGAGAGGGTTCGTCGCTTCATTGAGCGACTCCACCCTAGTATTCGGACCAGTATGGCTAGGGAGTTGGAGATGGATATCACTTATCAGCAGGCAGTGAGTAATTACAGGAGAGTTGAGGGCATGTTTGCCCAGGACAGAGAGGAGAGAGAGGCCAAGAGATCTCGATAGACTGGTCATGGTTAGGGATTGCCCCAGAGTCAAGAGGGGTGCACCTCCACAGACTTATCAGCCTCCACGTGCTAGACCGGGTCCTCCGGCCATTCTTCTTGCCCCGGCTGCCGCTC